AAACCCCCTCAAATGACCCCTTTTTGGAAAGTAGACCCCCCCCAAGGAATTTGATAAGAAGCACGGTGAGTATTTTTCAGATCTCGTTTGTTGCCATAAGTTTTTGGAAAATGAAGAAAGAAAACAAAAAAATTATTTTTTATTTTCTTTTTTTATATTTCAAAAATAGATCTGCAACATACTCACCATGTCTCTTTATAAATTCCTTGAGGTGTCTATTTTCCAAAAGTGGTTCATTTTGGGGGGTTTGGTGCTATCCTGGCATTTCAGGGCCTCCAAAACTGTGATAGGTAGTGAGGAAGTGTAATGAGGAAGTTACACACCTTCAGGCTTTCAAAGTGGTCATTGGATTTCAGGCTCCTGTATGTGGCTAGGCTCCCAAAAAGTCTCACACATGTGGTTCCCCATACTCAGTAGACGTAGCAGAATGTATTTTGGGGTGTAATTCCACATATACCCATGGCTTGTGCGAGAAATAAATCATTTAAATGACAACTTCGTATAAAAAAAAAAAAGTTTGTCATTTTCCAAAAACTTGTGGAAATAAAATAAATCTTCCATGGACTCAGTATGCCTTTCAGCAGATAGATTAGGGTGTCTACTTTCTGCAAAGTGGTCATTTGGGTGTGTTTTTACTGTCCTGGTATCACCTCAAGAAATGTGATGGGCAGTCAGAAAGTAAAAGCTGTGTAAATTCCATTATCTATACCATAGTTTGTAGACGCTATAACTTTCACACAAAGCAATCAATATACGCTTGATGGGCTTTTTTTTAACCAAAAGCATGTAGCAGAATACATTTTTGCCTAAATTTATGATTACATTTTTTTATGACGAAAAGTTTTTTGGATATTTTTATGAAAGAAATGAGAAAATACTGTTTTTTTTAAAAAAAAAAATTTTAAAGTTTTTTTATAGCGCCAAAAATAAAAAGCGTGCAGGTGATCAAATATCACCGAAAGAAAACTCTATTTGTGTGAAAAAAGGATATAAATTTCATTTATGTACCATATTGCATGACCGTGCAATTGTCAGTTAAAATAGTGCAGCACTGTGTAGCAAAAAAAAATGGCGTAAATTGCAGTATCTATACCATAGTTTGTAGACGCTATAACTTTCACACAAAGCAATCAACAAACACTTATTGAGATTTTTTTTTTACCAAAAACATGTAGCAGAATACATTTTGGCCTAAATTTATGACTAACTTTGAGTTTACTATATATTTTTTATAGCCGAAAGTAAAACATACAGTTTTTCTTAAAAATTTTCGGTCTTTTTTGTTTATAGCGCAAAAAATAAAAAGTGCACAGCTGATCAAATACCACTGAAAGAAAGCTCTATTTGTGTGAAAAAAGGACGTAAATTTCTTTTGGGTACAGCATTGCATGACCACTTAATTATCAATTGAAATAGTGCAGCGCCGAATAGCAAAAAGAGTCCTGGTCATTAAGGGGGTAAATCCTCCGGACGGCAAGTGGTTCATTGGAGGCCATAGATCTGCATCTATTCTAGAGATGCGTATTTCAAGAAACTGGTATACAGTGATCCCTTGTTTTTCGCTGTTAATGGGGACCAGAGCCTTCCGCGAAAGCTGAAAAACCGCGAAGTAGTATTTGCCCCCAGGAATGTATGCGAGACAGTCAACATCATGGACAAGACTGGCGAGATACAACAAGAGAAGATGCTAGGTGAGGCTGCAATGATTCGCAGACAATCAACTCACAGGGATAAATACACTCGTACTCTTATTGGTCGATGTCACACTGGAAACCAATCACGCGCCTTTATGAAAGCCCGTGGTATGTACAGTACAATACTCTGAGTCAACTCATCTCTTTGGTTAACATGCAGGGATCCTTCTCTCTCGCGCATCAACATGAAACAACACTCCTTTCCACAATGTGGCTGCTGACCCGCGAAGCACTGAAGCCGCAAAACATGAAGCGCGAAGTGGCGAGGGAACACTGTACTGAGCTTTGGAAAGTGTGAATGTTTTGGGTTTCAAATTCGATTACAGAGTTATGTAAATTTATAGATGGTTGAAGAATTCTAGATTCTGTTTTAGAACCGTATGATTTGGACCATTTTGATGCATTACCAAAATAAAGGATTAAAAGGTTCTGTTGATTGTGTTAGTCAAAAAGGAGATTCTATAAATAATATATTCAAATAATGAATTAAGGCTCAATCACCAGATGATTGTAAGTAACCATAGAGTAACTGGTCATTCAAACATCTTCAAAGGAAAAAGCATAGCTTCAGTGTAATTTATTAACGAAAACCTGATCGAGATATGGAGGCTGCTCCTGCTAACCAGCCTAGTCTGATAGCCAGCATCATTCAACCCACTTCCTTTGAGCCCAGGCTGTCATGGACCCTCCCCAGTGGAGTAGAATTCACACAGAAATCTTATATCTATGTCACTTTCTTTTCCCCTCCTATCAGCATGCTTCTGACTGGTTCTTGTGCTGCTTCTTCCTCTCAGTTTTTCTTTTGTCAGGCTTAGAACATTTTTAGCAAGTACAGAAAATACCAATTGATATTGCCAAAACTGCAGTGTCCTTCTTGTGAGCTGACCTAGAAGCATATTAATATTATTATTATACAGTATTTATATAGCGCCAACAGTTTGCTCAGCGCTGTACAATATAATGGGAGACAATACACGAGACAGTACAGTAACAATACAATACACGAGGTGTTTGAGGGCCCTGCTCCTTGGAGCATAGAACTTATCTACTACTAATCCCATCAACATCGATTTAATGAAGATGAACAAAGTCAGACATGTTTGACGTTCATTTAAATAAAGGAATGCGCTAAAAACCACAAACTATTCCTAATTTAGTGTAGAAACATTAGTGCAAAAAAATATATATATCTATTCTCAATTAAGATCAAAAAATATCAAAATTATGTGCAAAACTATTTTTTAGTGCATAAGTAATTTAAATAATTAAATATTGTGAATATAAAAATTGTCCGATTTTGTATTTCTTCAAATGTCTAAACAAATCCTTTTCCAATTCACGTGCTCTCAAAGAAATTGTGCCAAAATCCACCACCAAAATAAAGTTGGGTAACTCACCAGAGCTCCATGCTGATCAATCTCTAGATCAGCAAAGAACGCTTTTTGCTCTGGGAGCAGATGCAATGAATCAACTTCTCAGGTGTGATGATCAATAGCTACACAATCATCCATAAGGTAGGTATCCACCACTCAATATAACGGTTCCAGGAGCATTATATCACTCTCTCTTTTTATATCTCTCCACCGAGGTCATGTTAGGGAATGAAAGAAAAAATCATGGTGCAGCCAGTTTTTTTATAAAAGTATCCAACAATTTAATAAAGATTTAAAAAGGGTGTCTTCACCGACACCAGTATAACAGCATAAAACAGCAAATGGTATAACAGTCTCCTGTTCCCCGCACACTCACTACAGCGCTCGTGACTTAATCCTCTCCACAGACGTCGGCATCCAGCAAGCCAAAGCCCTACTAGCTTCAAGGGGCGGTCCCTCGGTGGAGAGATATAAAAAGAGAGAGTGATATAATGCTCCTGGAACCGTTATATTGAGTGGTGGATACCTACCTTATGGATGATTGTGTAGCTATTGATCATCACACCTGAGAAGTTGATTCATTGCATCTGCTCCCAGAGCAAAAAGCGTTTTTTGCTGATCTAGAGATTGATCAGCATGGAGCTCTCGTGAGTTACCCAACTTTATTTTGGTGGTGGATTTTGGCACAATTTCTTTGAGAGCACCTGAATTGGAAAAGGATTTGTTTGGACATTTGAAGAAATACAAAATTGGACAATTTTTATATTCACAATATTTAATTATTTAAATTACTTATGCACTAAAAAATAGTTTTGCATATAACTTTGATATTTTTTTATATTAATTGAGAATAGATATATATATTTTTTGCACTAATGTTTCTACACTAAATTAGGAATAGTTTGCTTTCCTTTATTTAAGTTATAGCACTAAGAAATTTATTTGGTTTCTTTGAGGTGGAATTGCTGCTTTAAAATATTAAGGTGTGGCGCTTTTATTACACTTGTGATAATGTTTGACTTTCAACCTAATGTACAAATGTATGGCTTCCTCCAAAGGTACAGTAGATTAAAAGGCCAGGAATGGATTGTAAGGGTATATTCACAGTATTAGCCGGTCAAAATAAAGGAAAAAAGTCTGGCGGAAAAAAAGTAATGAATCCCCCATATATAATGATTGGGCTGCTGCAATATATTTAATTTTGGTTTTTGGCTTTAGATTTGCTTCAAGCACACCTATTAATGACACATAATTTTAATTAGAGTGCATTGATGTAAAAGATTCAGTACTTCTCTATAATTGTCATTAATATTTAACATATCCCTGATAAACAAATTCTGTGTTACTGTCAATGGCTGACATCTAGCAATAAATCTGCCTTGCCTCCCATTACTATCATTAGTAAAACTACACACACGCATTCGAGAGAAAACATTGTTCTAGATCAGGGAAATTCTGAGGAACTCCTTGAGATATGACTTAAGCCAGCTACATGAAACAAGATAACCCTAGCAATATAACTCTGTCATTGATCAACCAGTAAGTCACTTTTTCTGATTTATTAGGCCAAGTATAAACATAAAAAAAAAACCTAAATGATAGAATCATACCTCCCAACTGTCCCTGATTTTGTGGGACTGTCCCTGATTTGGAACAAAGTCCCTCTGTCCCTATTTCCTCCTCATTTGGCCTTATTTTGTTCTGATCCAGGGGTCCTCAAACTTTTTAGACAGGGGGCCAGTTCACTGTCCCTCAGACCGTTGAAGGGCCGGACTATAGTTTAAAAAAAAAAAAACTATGAACAAATGTGGACACAGTACAGGAGATGACCAGAGACTGCGGACATACAACGGCGACGGGAATACTGGGCCGGCCGGCCGCTCCATAAGACGCACAGACATTTCCCCCCAAGTGTGTCTTATGGGGCGAAATAGTGCCCCATCATTGGTGTCAGTGGGAAGAATTGTGCCCCATCATTGGTGTCAGTGGGAGGAATAGTGCCCCATCATTGGTGTCAGTGGGAGGAATAGTGCCACATCATTGGTGTCAGTGGGAAGAATTGTGCCCCATCATTGGTGTCAGTGGGAGGAATAGTGCCCCATCATTGGTGTCAGTGGGAGGAATAGTGTCCCATCATTGGTGTCAGTGGGAGGAATAGTGCCCCATCATTAGTGTCAATGGGAGGAATAGTGCCCCATCATTGGTGTCAGTGGGAGGAATAGTGCCCCATCATTGGTGTCAGTGGGAAGAATCGTGCCCCATCATTGGTGTCAGTGGGAGGAATAATGCCCCATCATTGGTGTCAGTGGGAGGAATAGTGCCCCATCATTAGTGTCAGTGAGGGGAAGAATAGTGCCCCATTGTTGGTGTCAGTGGGGGGAGGAATAGTGCCCCATCGTTGGTGTCAGTGGGGGGGAATAGTGCCCCGTCATTGGTGTCAGTGGGGGGATAGTGTCCCAACATTGGTGTCAGTGGGAGGAATAGTACCCCATCATTGGTGTCAGTGGGGGGTGGAATAGTGCCCCATCGTTGGTGTCAGTGGGGGGTGGAATAGTCAGTGGGGGGTGGAATAGTGCCCCATCGTTGGTGTCAGTGGGGGGTGGAATAGTGCCCCATCATTGGTGTCAGTGGGGGGGAGGAATAGTGTCTCATCGTTGGTGTCAGTGGGGGGGAGGAATAGTGCCCCATCATTGGTGTCAGTGGGAGGAATAATGCCCCATCATTAGTATCATTGACACCAATGATGGGGCACTATTCCTCCCACTGACACCAATGACACTTAACTTGCTGACCCTTGCTCCAGCATGGTGATGCTGCAGCCAGCATACCTGGTTGCAGCAGCACCATCTGCACGACACACTGACCTGTCAGCTGTCCTTCTTCACTCCGGCCTCTCCCTCACTCGATGTTCGCGGGGCCGCTCGGCTCCGCCTCCTCGCAGGTGATTGGCCGCCTGTGTGCCTTTCCTGAGCTACAGTTCTGGCGCTCAATCACTGGAGAGGAGGCGGAGCTGAGCGGCAGGGGTGAGGGAGTGGCCAGAGTGAATGAAGGAGCAGCTCTTCCTGGACTGGATCGTCGTGGGACTGGGACCAGAGCCAGGTAAGGTACAGCAGCCCCCTGCCTACCCCTGTACTTAGTGTCCCTTTCTCGCGGAAAATATGCCCCTGCCGGCGGCCACATAGTTTGAGGACCCCGGTCTGATCTATATAGTTGTATACAAAATGCACTATTTATCTATCAAAAATTGCTAAACCTTTCATCCAATTTCTAAATTGTTACATTTGTAAACTTCAAATGCCAGTAAAAAGGACTAGTAGCGATAAAATAAAAGCACTTGTGGGTGTAACTAATCTTTTTTTTCCGTCTAATTTTCCTTTAAGGGGGTGTGGCAGGGGGGGGTGTCCTATGCCTACATACATTTGCTTATAGGTGTCCCTCGTTCCCATCTCAAAAAGTTGGGAGGTATGTAGAAGTAAGGATGGTCACAGGAGATGTTAAAAATCCAAGCATTGCTTGTCATAGTGTGGTGAAGATGGATCCCCAAAAGGCAACAAGTGCTGCCAATCTTGGCAGGAATCAATGTCCAGATATATGTAGCAAATATGACTGTTAGCTCAGAACATAGGAGCCATAAGTATCCTTCTACAGCAGCGGTTCTCAACCTGGGGGTCGCGACCCCTTTGGGGGTCGAACGACCATTTCCCAGGGGTCGCCTAAGACCATCGGAAAACACATATTTCCGATGGTCTTAGGAACCGAGACACCGCTCCTCCGTCTCAGGCGATGTGTGGGCGGGGATGATACGCTGCTCTTGTCACCTGGCCACACCTCCGGGATCGCTCAGCAGCTCCGCCTCCTCGCCGCTGATTGGCCACCGGAACTGTAGCTCAGGAGAGGCACACAGGCGGCCAATCACCGGCGAGGAGGTGGAGCTTGGAGAGGAGGAGCCGAGCGGCAGCGCGCGTACATCAAAGAAGATCGAGGGAGCTGCCGGAGCGAGTGAAGAGGAGAGCGGCCAGAGAAGGAAGACAGCTGACAGGTAAGTGAGAGAGCGAGCCCAGGCTGGAGCAGGGGACAGCAAAGTAAGTATCATTGGTGTCAGTGGGAGGAATAGTGCCCCATCATTTGTGTCACTAATACCAACGATGGGGCACTATTCCTCCCCCCACTGACACCAACGATGGGGCACTATTCCTCCCCCCACTGACACCAACGATGGGGCACTATTCCTCCCCCCACTGACACCAACGATGGGGCACTATTCCTCCCCCAACTGACACCAACGATGGGGCACTATTCCTCCCCCCACTGACACCAACGATGGGGCACTATTCCCCCCCCACTGACACCAACGATGGGGCACTATTCCTCCCCCCACTGACACCAACGATGGGGCAGTATTCCTCCCCCCACTGACACCAACGATGGGGCACTATTCCTCCCCCCACTGACACCAACGATGGGGCACTATTCCTCCCCCCACTGACACCAACGATGGGGCACTATTCCTCCCCCCACTGACACCAACGATGGGGCACTATTTCCCCCCCCTGACCCCAATGATGGGGCACTATTCTCCCCTCCACCACACTGACATCAATGATGGGGCACTATTCCTCCCACTGACACCAATGATGGGGCACTGTTCCTCCCCCCACTGACACCAACGATGGGACACTATTTCCCCCCCCCTGACCCCAATGATGGGGCACTATTCTCCCCTCCACCACACTGACATCAATGATGGGGCACTATTCCTCCCAATGACACCAATGATGGGGCACTATTCCTCCCACTGACACCAATGATGTGGCACTATTCCTCCCACTGACACCAGTGATGGGGCACTACTCCCACTGACACCAGTGATGGGGCACTACTCCCCCCACTGACACCAGTGATGGGGCACTATTCCTCCCACTGACACCAATGATGGGGCACTACTCCCCCCACTGACACCAATGATGGGGCACTACTCCCCCCACTGACACCAATGATGGGGCACTATTCCTCCCACTGACACCAATGATGTGGCACTATTCCTCCCACTGACACCAGTGATGGAGCACTACTCCTCCCACTGACACCAGTGATGGGGCACTACTCCCCCCACTGACACCAGTGATGGAGCACTATTCCTCCCACTGACACCAATGATGGGGCACTACTCCCCCCACTGACACCAATGATGGGGCACTACTCCTCCCACTGACACCAATGATGGGGCACTATTCCTCCCACTGACACCAATGATGGGGCACTATTCCTCCCACTGACTCCAACGATGGGGCACTATTCCTCCCACTGACACCAACGATGGGGCACTATTCCTCCCACTGACACCAACGATGGGGCACTATTCCTCCCACTGACACCAACGATGGGGCACTATTCCTCCCACTGACACCAACGATGGGGCACTATTCCTCCCACTGACACCAACGATGGGGCACTATTCCTCCCACTGATACCAACGATGGGGCACTATTCCTCCCACTGATACCAACGATGGGGCACTATTCCTCCCACTGATACCAACGATGGGGCACTATTCCTCCCACTGACACCAACGATGGGGCACTATTCCTCCCACTGACACCAACGATGGGGCACTATTCCTCCCACTGACACCAGTGATGGGGCACTATTCCTCCCACTGACACCAGTGATGGGGCACTATTCATCCCACTGACATCAGTGATGGGGCACTATTCCTCCCACTGATACCAACGATGGGGCACTATTCCTCCCACTGATACCAATGATGGGGCACTATTCATCCCACTGACATCAGTGATGGGGCACTATTCCTCCCACTGATACCAACAATGGGGCACTATTCCTCCCACTGACACCAGTGATGGGGCACTATTCCTCCCACTGACACCAGTGATGGGGCACTATTCCTCCCACTGACACCAGTGATGGGGCACTATTCCTCCCACTGATACCAACGATGGGGCACTATTCCTCCCACTGATACCAATGATGGGGCACTACTCCTTCCACTGACACCAATGACATGGCACTACTCCTCCCACTGCAAAATTACAGTTATGAAGTAGCAACGAAAATAATTTTATGGTTGGGGGTCACCACAACATGAGGAACTGTATTAAGGGGTCGCGGCATTAGAAAGGTTGAGAACCACTGATCTACAGCTTCTCTTCCAGAATCATTTTCTGATATTCCTGCAGCTGTATCTGCAGATTTCTGTCAGATGAAGAGTATCATAAATGGATGGGTTTGTTCCTGATGAGCCACACCCAGCTGATAAAGCTCCAAAACTTAAAGCATATCTAAATTCAAAAACAAAATGTTTATGTATTGCAGCTTACTAATCCTTAAATGTGGTTGCTGGGTTTTTTTTTCTTGCTTGGTTATATGGCCAGTAACACACTTCCTGTCTTATGGTGGCTCCTTTATCAGTGGAGGAGCAACGGAGACACCCTTGGGAAGAAGCATTGCCTGGAGAGGGTAGTGTTAGCTGGACTAGTAAATTTAGATGGACTTTACATAAGGTATTACCAAACTAAAGCTGAACTTCAGCTAACACATTTTAAGTACCTTTAGACCTCATGCACTGGGCATAAAAAATGCTGCTTATACAGGCATTTTTTCTTTCAACTTTTAGAAGCAACTTTTTGTTAGCCTATGTGTCCGTGAAGATTTGGGTGTTTACAGGCATATTGGTAGAAAAGCATTTCCAGGATAAAAAAAAACCCATCACAAGTGCATTTTTGAGAGGAGCTTCAAGGCAGAAAAATCTCTTGATGCGCCTAAACACAGCATTTAGGCACATCAAGCAATTTTAACTGTACATTTTTTTCTAGTGTTTTGGGGAAAAGCGTTTATGAATGCAAACGCACGTACACAAGCCTAAAAGTGTGTACAATATGCTACATAGGAGCATATTTTATGCTGTTTTTTTACTGTCTGCAGTTCTGCCATTTTTTGTGCTGCCTAGTTTGCATGGACCCTTAGTCTTTAATTTACAGACACTTGTTTTTTTCCTTTTGAGATACAGGTTTTAACTAAATGAAAGATGAGCATTGTTAGCACCCCTGTCAATGTTAAATTGTTTCTTTCAACCCTCTAATTTCCACTTTTGCTATACAGCTTGGTCTGTTAAAGGAAGTCGAAAAATAACAGACTTACTGGCCAGATCACACAATGAGAATAAGTTAAAAAAAGAAAGCTAATGCAGCCACCACATTTAAGGATTGGTAACCTGCAATATATTACATTTTTGCTTTAAGTTTTAGGTACGCTTTAAAGATACCCTTAGGTTCTTATTGACACAATGCAACCCTGACTAAAACTGGAACAGCCTGAGGCTGATACTGGGGCTGTCAATACTTCGGGATCAATGAAAGGCCCCAAGACTGTCAAAACTTTTCTGGTATACTCCTTACTTGAACCTGTTCTGTACAAAGACCGGAAACAATCTGGTAAGTTATTCTCTCTTTCAAAGTGTTTTACTG